TTTATCAATACTTGTCACTAGAAATTTTAATTGTCAACTGTTATGAGACTTGATTTATTTTGATGTTGCTTTATATAGGATTTCTTCATTCTATTTGTCTAGTCTCATACTAAAGTAGAAACATGTTAAGGTCAGATTTAGCCATTACTCGAGTAACTAATTTTTAGACAAACCTTTTTCGATTTTTTTCAGATTGTAGTTTTGATTTTGAGCGAAGGTTGCCAATTTTATTTAGTATCTAAATTCTTAAAGTTACCAGTAAATATTATAACTACAACGCATGGAGAATTTTGTGTGCGTGCTGCTGTATAACGATGGTGCTTTGTGGTCTGTTCCACTAAGGATTTCCAAAAATGGACAGATTGTAATCAGTAGTAGAAAACAACTGAAGGATTACTGACATGCATTCCTAGAAAACAATTGACCAAAAACAAATATTGTCTTGGCATATATTTTTATTATAAGAAAACTAATTTGCCTTTCTCGTGTTAGGCAGAAACGACTGCTCATCAAAGTGACTTTTCAAAATAATAATCACTGGCATGGTCAGGTGGTTAGGGCGCTCGACTCGCAAACTGAGGGTCGCGGGTTCGAATCCCCGTCCCACCGAACATGCTCGCCCTTTCAGCCGTGGGAGCGTTATAATGTGTAGGTCAATCCCATTATTCGTTGGTAAAAGAATAGCCCAAGAATTGGCGGTGGGTGGTGATGACTAGCTGCCTTCCCTGCCTGCTAAATTAGGGATGGCTAGCGCAGATAGCCCTCTTGTAGCTTTCGCGAAGTTCAAAACAACCAAACAAGCTAACAGTTATTCCTTCGTACATGATTTGTAGCTTGTTTAATGTTCGTAGTTAATATATCTTGAACAACACTGTATCTTTATGCTGAAATATTTCAATTTTTTCCAGCTCTGTGGAGTCGTTGATCCGTTCTAGGTCAGCATGAAAGAAAATATGTGATAAATCATGTTGCATATTACATAGTTTCCGTGTTTTGAAAGTTCAGCATTCAATTGAAATATTTGAGATATAACATGATAAATGTAAATGCATATTATACTTGTGAAAAAGGTAATGACTTTTAAATGTGTATTTATATTAGGTTTCTCTTTACTACAACATCAGACTGAAAGTATCTTCACTTATCTTATTTCATTAATAAGTTATAATCATATTTTGACTTATCAAATTCTTGAAAAATAATGCATTATAAAGCATGAGAGATTGCTGCTGTCCTTATTAAGTCGTCATTGTTGGCTCAGACTTTTCTACTTGAGAGAAGTTTAATTGATTTTCAATTTCAAGCTCGAGGGCCTATAACACCAAAATTCGGGGTTATATACCCGTGGTGGGCACACCACAGATGGCCATCCATAGTTAACTTTATGCTTAAAATCAAAATCAGTATTGTGTAATTTAAACAACAAATGAAATTTTAGCATTTTCAAATAAGATAAAATAATTTAAGGCCTGGCATGGCCTGGTGATTAGGGCGCTTGACTCGCAGCCTGCGGGTGGCGGGTTCGAATCCCTGTAACACCGAACACGTTTACTTTTTTCAGTGGCACAGCGGTATGTCTGCGCACTTACAACGATAGAATCCGGGTTTCGATACCCGTGGTAGGCAGAGTACAGATAGCCCATTGTGTAGCTTTGTGCTTAATTACAAACAAACACACTTTTCTGTTATGGGGGCGTTATAATGTGACGGTCAATCCCACTATTCATTAATAAAAAAGTAATCCAAGAGTTGGCGGTGGGTGGTGATGGCTATCTGCCTTCCCTCTAGTCTTATATTGCTAAATTAGGGACGGCTAGTGCAGATATGGTCTGAGTATATTTATTTCTCCCTTTAGAAACAGTACAAGCAGAAAAATTATGATTTCATTATAATTTTAACTCTCTAAAACAACTAGAGTTTACAACAACAAAAAATCGCGCTGCTTGATTAAAATTTTCAATTCGACCTCCTAAGACAGTGCAACATTGCGGAAAAATAAAGTTTATGATTGTTTGTGGCTCCTGATAACAACAAAACACAAACAAAAATAAGTACAAACCCTGGAAGAATACGAGTATGCAACCTACATCCTAAAAGGTTTAGACACATTGCAATAATTGTTTTACATTTAGATTGCCAGTTCCAAGTCTAAGCTGTTTGTTTGTTTGTTATAGATTTCGCGCAAAGCTACACGAGGGCTATCTGCGCTAGCCGTCCCTAATTTAGCAGTGTAAGACTAGAGGGAAGGCAGCTAGTCATCACCACCTACCGCCAACTTTTGGGCTACTCTTTTACCAACGAATAGTGGGATTGACCGTCAC